AGGCAAATTCATCTATAGACGCAGCTACATCATTTGAATCACCATTTTCTCCAGCCGGTTGCCGAAAGCGCACAAGGAGGCGGCTGCCATCATTTCGACAGACGTTATCCACGACACGAATGACAGACAAAATGGAGGCTTCTGATGCATGCTCAGTAAATGAGAGTCTCGTTTGTTCAGGCACCAAGGTAGCTTCTCCGCACCTCTCTTCATCTTCCAGTACTGCCTCAACTTGCGACTTAAATTCCTCTCAGTCCTCAAATAACACATTAGATGTCTCCAAAGCGACTATTGATTCGAGTGCTTTTCCTCCTGCTGCATCTCTTTCTAGTTGCAGCTCTTTGAAGCAAAACTCAATGCAGCACATTGCTGTTCCTGACACTTTTCCGGTACCTTCTGATCATATGCCAATTACTTTTATCCCTTCCGATTCTTCTCAGCCCGACCTTACTTTGAAATTTAAGATGAAGGCAAAAATTCCTAGTCGAGGGTCTCGACGCCTAAAAAAATCCATTATTTCACCACTTGCTGTCCGCACCTCTTTACATTCTTCGTCTTCACACTCCTCTTTCATTCTCGACCGTCACTGTGTCCGCTCACCAGTTAAGAGATATGGTGGACTGCCAGCGTGCACTTCGATTATACTGCGGCGTAAACGCAGATTATCTGGTTATTCCCAGTATTCTTCATCAGCCTCGGAGACGCCGAAGTTTATTTCATGTAGACATTCTCCCAGAATAAATCAAAGATCAAGAAATCACGTTAGAGACTGCCTAAGCCCACTACCGGAGACTCCTCATTCAACTCTTCAAACTAGTCGTAAGATTTTACATTGAAGCAGATATTCCTAATTTTTGTTTTGCATCAAATATGCACATTGATGTACACTTCTATCAAAGTTTGTTAGATACTATAATGAGTAAAACTTTGCAACTGATTAATTTTTTAAATAAATCCCATTAGGAAGTGCAATTTATAGATCAAAGATTTATATTTATTTGGAATAATCTTCAGCACTTAAATGAACTAGGTTTATTAGTTAGTGGAGAACCAAAACATTATTTTTGAGTGTTTTCCTCCAACGCACAAAATTTCTGATCTAACGATAGCCACCGTATGATGCTACCAAGATAAATATGAGTATAGCTCTTTGTCAATTATATCTTTTTTGGCGTCGTATATATTTCTCAACCTATTCTTTCTAGAAGTTGTTTGACCTTGTTTTCGCAACTTGCTCATATTGGTAACAAGACT